TGTGACATTACTGAATCTACACAGAGAGCTCCAAAATTTACAATTCTATGTAAATACAGCATTACCTGAAATTGCATATTTTCCTAGTGCTTTCTTATGAAACATGTATGAGTGACCCTGAACTGCATGTTGGGAGGGATGCCTGTTCTGGCATGCGGACTCCCTCCTGGATGATGCCATCTCTTCAGGTGTATATGCTGAAAAAGTCAGACTTCTGCAACTGTGTTGTGTTCTGGAACGTGGTCAGGTAGACTGGTTGTAGCGTAATGCATTGACATATCAAATGCCTTATATGGATTTTGATTTCAGTGACTGTGGTAATCGTGACCACATAACATGGTTTTCTGCTGGAATACTGATGCTGCATTTTTTTCTGGTATCAAAGCATATTCAGTTAATTGGAGCACTTCTAGACTGCCTTCCTGCATGTCTGGGCAGACTCTCTCCTTTCAGATTTATTCCCCACCCTATGTCCCCCTTCCTACAGGCTGCACAAACGTAGCTGATGGGTGTGAGTAAATGTTGCGTGATGGTTTGCTTAAAACAATCAAGTTCCAGATGGAGTACTAGGAAAAGTGTAAATTATTGATGTCTGCGTTGTGACACTAACACAAACTGACTGGAATTCTTGTAGTAATTTGTCAACTTGTCGATTGAATTATCTGTTGTATTTCCTCTGGTTTTGATTCCTGTTTACCTATCACTGAACGAGTCACTGTCTCTCTCCTCTTTTACAGCACATCCCTAGACATCCCTCGTTGGTTAGCAGAAGTGGCAAGATCTTGCTCTGAGCCCAGTTCTGTATGTTGTAGTGTACTTGTCCTGGATCTGGGGCTGCTGGCAGTGAATTCCTCCTCTTTTTAAGAGAATCTACTTGCCAAGCTCCATTCCCTTTTTTTTCCCAAGTGATACTACAGTTACCCCACACTCTTCTATCTACTGGGGAAGGGGAAAGCTTAAAAGCTCTGATAGCGAAGACTTTTTCTGCAGTGTACTAGAAGTACACAACTGAAATTTGGCAAGCTGAGCTTTAGTGAAGGCACGAAACAGCTGAACTGTTTTGCACTGCCCCTGTAGGGTGTTGTGGAGGCCAGGCATTCATAATACTTGATGAAAGACAAAGTCAAAGCAAGTTTTAGTAGTAGTATTCCTCAAGTCACTACTTGCCAGGAACAGTGTGTTCTCAGCAAGGGCAACTGTTGTGTCTACGCATCTGCTACTGACCCCCTCCTATGGCAAAACTTGAAATTAAAGAATTTCTCATCAGCAGTAAGTGTTTTCATAAGCTTAATGAACATATTGGTATATGCAGAGTTACAGAATGTCTGTTGTTGAGGAATAATGTTTATCTAGGCTACAGATTTTTATGCACCATAGTTATCTTTAGGAACACCTCACTTTCTATGCAGGATGCCTTCAGGACTCTGTGGATATGAAGCTGTATTTGAAGTTGGTTTATTTGCTCATTGATTGCTATTGATTACTAGAGTGAAAATTTGCTTTAGAAATAGTTGAATCAGTAGTTTATTGCTGTACGTTCTCTGGTTATGTGAAAGTCCACAGCAGTGAGTGAGCAGACTTCTATACATACACGTACACCTTAGCAGGTGCAACTTGAACACACTTCCTCATTTCTCTCTTTAGTCTCAAAACTGCTTTTATTTTTCTTGGAGCTCCTTCAGCATCAATTGGATCAAGGTTTTCTTAGCTGCTCATGTTTTGACATTGTTAGCTATGCATATTGTAAGGTAATGTGCCATTCTTTAAGTTCTTGGGATTTCGGTCTTACTAAGTCTTGGTATATTGAAGTTGCCTGTTTTCATAGAGAGAAAGCTCTTGAAAGAGGTAGGACTGCTGTTTAAATCTGAGCAAATGCTGAATCAAAATGGAATCTTAACTTTTTGTTGCATGACAAGGCGAGCAAGCTGTGTTAAGGGCTGGTCTCCAGGCAAGTACAAACAAGTTTTAATGTGTCAAAACAACAGTGAAAGTAAAGTTCACAGATATTTTTCAGCAGTTGATTCTATGATTGACTCAATGGAAAATTATTCAGAACAGGTTCTTGCCCTGCCTTCAGGGAAGACTTTTGGAAGAACTCTTCAATCTGCCTTAGGTTTCCTAATTGAAGGTGAAAACGAGGCTACTACAGTGGTTTATGCCTTTATAGGGATTGAATAATAGTGGGTAAGCAAAAGATCTAGATCAGCCTTGAGTTAGCAGGAGATTTTAGCTATATAAGCCATTTCATCTTTGGGGGGGGGAGCAGCGGCAGAGGAGGGTGTGCTGTGTGATCTCGGTAGCTTGTTGTTTTTCTTGTTCCGTGGTCTTTTTACCCTCAATTGGAATCAGATGTTCAAAGTACCATGTAAAGACAAGGTTGTGGGCCAGAAGCCACTCTGTGTTTGGTTCATAGTGAGCAGGCACATTCCTGCAGTTCTAGAACAGTCTTACTTTGGGTGCTGCTTTTGTACTCAAAACTTCATGGGCCATGCAGCCCGTATGAAAAGCTTTATACTTTTCATTGGTTTGAAAAAGGATTTATTTTGAATGTAGTTACTCAAGCTGTGTTTTCAGCTGAAGAAAATAAAGTTTAAGGAAAAAAGTGAATTTTGAATAATGCAAGAACAGATTTTGAATAATGCATTATTGCTTTTAGTAACTTACCTTTCACTGCTTAGCATGCTGGCTTCATTTTATGCTTTCCAAAGTACTTGCCAATAAGAGTTTGTTTTCTTTCCCCTGCTATAGTTTCCTAAAAATGGCTTATATGGTTTGCAAGGCTTTAAACTTAATTGTTAAAGAACAAATCAAGAGTTGCTTCTCTTCTCGTGCCAAACTTGTTTTCCAAAGCAGTCATTGATTCCATTATACAAAAATATGATCACGGAATTATTCTACTATGTGCCTAATCAGCATTGCTCTAGCAGAAATCTGTTTATTATTATCATCTTTTCTGATCTTGTAACCTCCTTGACCTGTCTTGTTGTATTGCATCCACTATTGTCACCGTAGTTCAAACAGTCAAATAACTTCAGACTTTAACTCTTATGTGAATTATGAATTATTCTGCCCACCCTATATATTGAATCGTGATGTTCATGTCCTGCTACTTTCTTCAAACCAAATTTCAAATATGTCATTACATCAGTATCCTTGGTTGAGGATGCCACACTCTGATGGCTGCATTTTTAGCTAAGCACTGTTGACCTATTTGTTCATTGTTTTTGATGGCAAATATCCTTCTTCCTGCTCTTTGATTGGAGAGTGGAGTCTCATTCCAGATGTGTGATAGTGTTCAACACTTGTCCAGTTGTCCTTCTTCAGTTGGGAATCTGACCTTTGCCAATGAATACATCCTCAGCCAGATTCCCTTGCTGGATCCAGTGAACTTCGTTCTGCCTATTTAGGCTTTATTGCTTTGTAAGTGAGCCCTCTTTCTGGCAGATCCTGCACCCCACTGCAACCATATCTTTTAAGTCTGAAGTTCTCCATATCTCTAGTCTCATTTTTGGTACTTGGAGGCTTTCATATGGAATTGTGCTATGGAGGTCATCCAGCTGCTTTGGACAGTTTGATCTCTCATTTATGTCCTTGTGGTTTTGGTATTTCTGTGCAGTCTTAATGCTTGCTAGGAACATGTTGCAAGGCCTCTTCTTTACTGGTTTTTTTGTTTGTGCATCTCATTCCCATGTGTGGTCCACTGTCCTGCATTGTCTGTCCATGTCCATCCTGCTACCCCCACCTTCCTGTACGGTTTTGGATGAGGTAATGTGGCTCTGCTCTACTGGAGAGGACACTGGAATTGTTCCCTCACTTGGCTAATCATCTTTATAGAAGATGGAGGCTGCTACTAGGTATGAAATTGCTCTCCAAGTGAGTCTCCAGGGGTGTCATGTGCATCTATTGGTTGGTTACTGCAGCAGCATGTGGGAATTGTACTGGTGTACCCCAGATCACGAACCTCCCTATCCTCTCTTTTTTTATCTGAGGTGTCTTAACTCTTAGAAGACCTTGAGCTGCCTCTGCTATGCATTGCTTCCTCAAAAGGCAGGAAGAAAACCTTCAGTTCAGACAAGAACTGCTCTCTGGAGTTGTTATGGCTCTGCATCGAGGGATAAGCACTGAACTTTTTCTTCACTGCAATTCTTATTGTTGCTCCTATGTTGCTGCTCTTATTTCTGCTGTAGACCTGAGCTTATACAGCAGCATTTCATCATCATTACAATATAGATCTCTATTTCCTGTCTTCACGCGAACTTGTGTATAAGAACATGAATGCAACCAGACATGGTCAGACCGAAGATCCGCCTAACGCTGTGAACCATCTGCAGCAGTAACCAGGGCTGAATGCTGAGGGAAGAGTGTAAGATCAGGATGAGCGTGCAGTAATTCTTCCCTGGCTACTTGCAGCTCAGGACTGAGAGCATCTCGAGTCAGTTTGGTGTTCAGTTTTGGACAGGTTTGTTGTTTTGTTTGTTGGTTTGTTTGGTTGGTTTTTTAACATTGCTCTTGACTGCTTATGTTTGAGCCCATGTAAGCTCCTGGCTTCCAAGCAGTTTGCAGTAAAACGTTTCACAGCTTGACTACCCACTGTATGGGGAACCATGCCCTATTGTTGGCTATCTGCTATTGAAAGAGGGGAAAATGAGGGTTCATTCTGTCATGTAGTCCTTCAGATACCTTTTCCCTGTTGAGGAGCCAAATCTTTTGGGTTGGTTTTTTTCTTGTATGAAAGCCAAGCAAACCAAATAGCTGAGAATGCAACCCTAAAGTTGCACTTGACTGCAACTGACCAAAGACTTCAAAGTTGCTTGGCAGTCACAGAAGCGGAAACAGCTTGGGAAGGTAAGTGTGCATGGATGACATCTTTGTAAAATCATTATTTGCTTAAGAAAATTGGTCAAAATATCCGCACTTGATTCAATGACTAGGAGCTTAAAAATGTTTACTGTCTTAAAATCCTAACTGGCTAATTGTTTTTAATTTCTTTTTCATTCCAGAACATTTGAATCCTCTTTGGAAATATGAAAACAAAGAACTGCTTTTCAAATATCGTTCAGAACAATTGACACATTCCAGGGAAAAGCTGTTGTGTTTGGGGCTTTTTTTGCAAAGTTCAGAAGAATCTGCATTCTCTGAGATTTTAAATAAGTATAAAATGAAAACGGTTTGAAGTTTAGCCTTCAAAATGAATGTTGGGAAGTCAGATGACAAAGCAAAGAATGGCTTGAAGTCTTCCTTACTTATAAGGGATGAAAATGGAAATAACTACGCACGTGACAGAGCTACACCTTCCTCAAAGAATTGTGCCACCAAGATACACAGCAATTCAACTGACCAGAATATAGTGGCTGAGCATGAAGATGATTTTGAAAATACGAGTGACTTCAGAAGTATTCTTTTAAAACAGCAGTGTATTGAAGTACTTGATCTGCAGAAGACACCTAGCAGATACAACTGCACAGGAGCTCTGTTGGGAGATGCAGATGCTGCTTGCAAGTCTTCTGTCACTGAACAGACTTGCATGTGTCCTTTGAACTGTGACTTGAAAGCAACAACAAACTTCTTGAAAGGTGACGTTGTTATGGCAAAAATGCAAAATCAGAGTATCAGACACACAGTGCCTTACAGTCAGACAGACTCTAAGTGTGGAGTAGTACTTCCTGCTTCAGAGCAGTCCCTGATAAATGACAGGGCATGCTGCCACCTGAGCACATTGGATGTTACTAATGTTACAGGTGAAACTCTGGGAACTGATCAAAATGATGATATGCATCTGAGAGAAACACTACTCTTTTCTGAAATATGTACAAGAGAGAAATTTGATAGAACCAGCTCAGAAAGAACACCTAATTTCATCTCTGCAGGTGTGGAACACTGTCTGAAAAACACTGTCAAGACTGATAAAGAATCACAGGAAACAGAAGCACAGTCTGTAGAACTAGCTGCTGAATGTATAGGTCCTTATAGACGAGATGCATTGTCACCATGCATTAATATTAATGAAGATGACCAAGTGAAATCCTTGCGGGATACCTCTGACCATGATGAAACTGGGAATTCCAATGTTGAAACGTGCATAGATAGTCTTGTAAATAATGTGCACCTTCTCCCAGTAGATAAAATGGATGGAGAACAAGTATCAAAGAAAACCAGTGAACCCTTAACCAAAGAACAGAGTATCTCTGGAAATGCTGCTCTTCAGGATATGCACAACACCCCTTCTGTATCTTGCAGTGTACCAAAATGGAAGAGGACTGCTATACCTGACCTGAAATGTGAAGAAACTTTTGTGGTCTTCAGTCCTATGGCTGATGAAAGTGCTTCTGCTCTATGTTCTTCAACCCCTAAAGAGCGATCAAAAAATAGAACTTTTTCTGTTTCAGCTTTGGAAGAACTTGGAGACAAGTCTCCTAAACTAAGACCAAATGAGACATTTGTAGGAGGACATAATAAAAGGTCTGTGCTTAGAGCTAGTTCAGATCAAACTGTAAGAAAACCAGTGGGCAGGTCTTCTATTGTGTCAACAATAACCAAAGCAAAGAAATCGGAGATTGTTAGTTTTCCCAAACCTGATTTCAAAAATGTGAAGCCAAAGGTTGTGTCTAGACCTGTGCTACAGTCAAGAGACAGTGCAGCATTAAAACAGTCTCCCCAGTCCTCCCAGTTGTCAGCTGTCTCCTCACCTTCACGGGTTGCTTCCCCAAGGCAATTGTCCTCTATAAAAGTGTTGAAAAAGACAGTAGATCTACCTAAAGTTTCAAAAGTGGAATTGCCTGTAAATAAACCCCATAAGCTACATCTTAACAAACGCCTCTTCACTAACCAAGTTGTACATGCCACAACACCTCCCAGAAATGCTTCCCACAAGACTTCAAAGACACCTGCATTAAAGCAAAGTCCTGAAGACACTGACAAAGCAAGCGCTACCCATTCAGCGTGCTCCTTGGTTTCTGCTGTGTTTCCAACATGCGTAGAGAGCTCGGAAGAGATGCTAAATGATAAAATGGAAAGTTCAGACTCCTTAGTGCAGCCTTGTGCTCAAGATATTGAACCAGCTGGAGGCGAAAAAGAGCAAAGCACCAATATGGGAATGCTTCTGGAAGCGACCTTGGTAAAAGATGTGGCAAATGAAACATTTGACATGCACTCTGTTCCTTTGGTAAGTTTTTATCTTTCATACTTTATTGTATGTTTGGTACATTTGGAAAAAGGAAATTTGGCATTGCACAGTGCTGAATGGAAACTGTGGAATGGCTTTGTTTCTACGAATGTAACTGTAATGTTGATTTCCCAGGTGAAGTCTCTCCCTAATAAAGGAAATTAAGAAATACTGTTTTATTTTCAACTGGTTGCACTTGGCCTCAATTGTAATTTAGTGTCCTTCCATCTTCATCTTATTCTGTGATGTAAAATTTTTTTTAGTAAAGTCTTTTACAGACAATGCAGTTGGTGCACGAGGCCTAATAAAAGCAAACAAGTCCTAATTTAGTCAAACTTGTAAAATTTCACAGCTTAATTTGGTGAGGTTTTCTAAATAAAGCTTTTAATATACACATTTTTCAAGATAATTCTAGCGGTGCTGTAACTTTAAATAGACATTAGAGATAAATTGCTGTTTTCAGTATTTTTCTTCCAAATGTGCTTTAGAACTAAATTACACTTTTTAAAATTACTTATGTAAATGTTGTGCATATATTAACAGTAACATTAAGTCACACAAAACCCAAAGACCAATGAGTTGGTGAAACATTTTATTTCACTCTCTCCTTTGAATAATTTGGGAGTTTGTTTGTTTGAAGTAGAACCAGGACTCATTAGAATAGTTAAGAGTAGCCAGGAAATATTTCTCATGCAGAGGGCATATACCTGGTTTTGGGCAGTCAGCCAGCTGGAAGGTGTAAACTTCCTGGCCGGGAGGTATGCATGTGCTGGTTGGCTGGGAAATACTTCTGGATGAGTCAGCTGCCTGTCAGGAGAAATGTGCTGCTTTCAAATACTCTTGAAAGAAGGATAAAAGAAAAGGAACAGTGGGAAAGAAGGGGCAGAGCGTTGGGGTTGGGTTGCCCAGGATCTCAGGATGTATGGTAGGGACACAGAGTTTCTCCTGTTGCTGATTTGTGGGTTCAACAGCTTTTGTTAAATCGGTGAAATGGAAGCAGCAGCTATTAATAGTAAAACTGGTGTAGTCTGAATTTTTGACAGGTTTTAGTGATTTGCCAGAAAAATTCCAGTAAAGCTCAGTATATGGAGGAAGCTCTTAGGTAAAACAGAAGCAGCTATCCATTTTTGAAACATTACACCAGAAATTAATAAATAATACTATTTATTAGAGTAAATAATCTAACTTGAAAACCTAAATAAGCATGAAAGCAAGAATGGTCTGTTTTAGTTCTAAAGTCTTTAAGAGCTTGGATTCTGCTTCAGTCCTTATTTTTGGTGCTGAGGATTGAAGAGAATGCTTTTCATTTACCCCATTGTCAATATGGAAACCTTTGTGATATTAATTGTTCTGCTTGTGCCTGGAAAAACAATAGAGCAATTTCTATAAATGATATACAGTAGACAAATCAGCTGGACTAAACTTAGTAAGTGGTCTTCTGAAAACTATAGATTAACATCTGAAAATGAAGATGAGGATTGGAATCAAAAGTTGAAAGTGCAGCAGGATGACCAAATTGCTGCATATTGACTTGAATCACAGAAAAGCATATAAAGAGCTGTACAGTCTTATGAGTTTGCCTTTATAGGTTTGACTGTACATCAAGAGTGGTCATGAATTACTGAGTGTATAAGCTGTAGCAAGAATTCTGTATGAAATGTAGATGTTTCATACATATAAACCGGTTATTTTAAACCTGTCCCATGTCCACTCCTGAATTTATTTTTATCTATGGAACCTCAACCTGAAAAATTTTAACCTGTTTCTGTGTTGTGACATAAGACCTAGATCAAGAGGCTGCTGTAATGGTTGTGACGTTTCAGGTAGTACAGGACAACTAACTTCTCAGGGTGTTAAATATGTATAGCTTGTTGGTAAAGATCTTGAGATTAGGTGTAGTCATGTAATGGAATTGCTTAATTAGAGTTTGGGGAGGAAGAGGAAGAAATTCTGATGTAAAATCACCTCTGTAACCTCTTTTTAGTGTGTTTGTCATTACGAGTGATTAGCTTCAAACTAATAGGTTTGTGTTGCTGAAGGCCATTTAGGAGATGATCCTTGAGGTTCTGAACTGCTGATGTGCACAATGTGATGGAGACTAACTGAGCATATCCCATGCCTGGGTGGTCAGTATTTCATTACAGATGGTGCAAAGGGAGATCTTCAGTTTCTCGCAGTGGTGGTGAGTGGGATGTATTGTTACTGGTTTTTTGGTTTTTCTTTTTTTTCTTAAAACAGATGCCTTCTGTGAAAGATGGGACAACTCAAGGGAAAAACATACCAAAGAAAGACCCAATCGCACTACAAAGTGCATCCACTCCCAAGGCTAAAATGGTGCCATCTGTGTTGACCTTGAATAGAGGATGTAAAAATAAAACTACCAGCACTGTTAAAACACCTTCTCACAAGGAAGCTCTTTTGTCAGCAAGCTCCGGTAAGAGAATTTTTCACTGGAATATTACCTTCATTTAAGAAAGTGGTTAAGTGGTATCATATTTAATGTACTTTCTGACAGAACTTTTAGGATGGTACAGAGTTGTATTTTTGGTGCTAAATACAGTTCTGTTTAAATTGTAAATTGCAGGGTACAGGGTCAAAAAAAAAGGCAGGTTACACCTCATAACTGTAAAATCTCATCTTGTAAGGAATGAGTTTAGGAGGGTGTGGTGCTACAAGAAGAATCGATAGTTAAATATTTATAGTTTGGTTATATAATAGTACTTTGCTAAATTACAACTAAAATTATTTTAAAGAGAAGAGGAGAAAATGCAGAACTCAGGTACAAAGCTCGTACCATAAGCAACTGTATTCTGTTCCAGTGGGAATGAGCCCTTATTTCAGGTCATAATATACTTCGTTCAACCTAATTTTAATAGAACTCTGTAGTTTCTAGAAAAGAGAGAGTGTAATTGAAGGAGAGACTACTGCTTGAGCTGCTAATTAATCTCAAACTGATTAATACCAAGGGCAGGGAGGAATCTCACATCTAGTCTGTAGGCTTCTGCTCAAATTTCATGACTGGGAACTATGTTCTGTAACTGTAGAGATTCAGAAGTCCTCTTGTAGGTTATGTGCTTGTTTGGTTGGGTTTTTTTTTAAGCAAGTGTGGCAGTGTAACTAGCTGCAAAGGTAGCCTGGCTATAAATGGCTACACTACAATGCACTGTAATGTGGAAAGTGTACACACCCATTTATACCCAGTAAAACCTGTTCTTTTTTTTTTTTAACTCACTCAATCTAAGATTTTAAACCAGTCCAAAATACCCTTCTTAATTATATACAGGTGGTGAAGTGTGATAAAATCTGTATTTGTAGTCCTTTATGAGATGAGTCCCTCAAAAAAAGTGGATATAGTCCATTCTCTGATTTGAGCCTTGCTAATGTGAGGCACTTGCTCAGTGAACAAGGTACCAAACTGTAAGCTACCCATTTCTTGGAAAACTCATCACCTCTCTAAATACCAACATAGAGCTTTCCTGTCTGTAATTATGGCCTTAGAAGAACTGAGATGGATATAGATCTAGATGTATATTTTTCCTTTAGGTTATTAATCCAGATTAGATTCATGACATGGTCACTAGAAATAAATATAGGTATAGCTGGGTTATAGGACTAACTTCTTCACTTCATGAAAAAAAAAATAACAAAATCAGATGCACTTTCAGAAGAAGCAGAAGTCATTTGCTGTTGAAAATGAAAACCTTTACTCCCCCGGGTTTTTCTAAGCTAAATATGTCCCTCCATAACTCATTTATTGTATGTTGAAATTACAGTAGTCCGTAGAATATTTTCCAGGTTTTTCCTATTCGAAAAAGGCTACTTAAATTACAAGCATAAAGCATAACCCTAACATTTCAAACTTGCGCTATAATCTGATGAGACTGGAACTTTAATGCTGCACGTGAGAAGAAATGTTTTTTTTTTCTCCATGCCCTTTCCACAGCCCCCTATTCTAGCCCACTATTCCTAGCACATCTTGCCCTTTATTTTGCTTATGCAGTGTTTTTGTGCTACAAAATAGAATTTGATGTGTTAAACTATAACAGGTTAACTTCTCCATCCCTTGCCAAGGGAATTTTTAAACATGGTTCATTGCTTCTTTATAAACATTGTACAGACATGGGGGAAGCCCAAGACCTGTCCACGCAAACGCAATACACTGCCCAACATGGATAACCTGGATTGGGGGTCACCAGATCTCTACCCAACCTGGGTCACTGTGGATAATCCAAGGTCGGTTCTCAGATGGGTGATGAAGTTGGAGCAGTGGACAAAGTCCTGAAGTTGGGACACTTATAGGGCTTCCCTTTTCGATGAGTCTGTTGGTGTCTGATCAAGGTAAAGCTCTGGTTGAAGCTCTTCCCACACTGGGGACACTTGTAGGGCCTCTTCCCCGTGTGTGTCCATTGATGCCTGATGAGATGAGAACTGTTCCGAAACCTCTTCCCACACTCAGGACACTCATAGGGCCTCTCCTCTGTGTGTGTCCTCTGATGCCTATTGGCAATTGAGCTGCTCCGAAACCTCTTCCCACACTTGGGACACTCGTAAGGCTTCTCCCCAGTGTGGATACGATGATGGATTACAAGGTCAGCGCTGCGGACAAAGCTCTTCCCACAGTCGGGACATTTGTAGGGTCGTTCCCCAGTGTGCAGGCGCTGGTGGGTGATGAGGTTGGAGCTCTGGCTGAAGCTCTTTGCACATTCAAAGCACTTGTAAGGCCGTTCCCCTGTGTGCACCCGGTGGTGGGCGGCAAAGGTGAAGCCATCACTGAAGCTCTTCCCACATTCACGACACTTATAGGGCCCTTCCCCGGTGTGGATGCTCTGGTGGCGAATCAGGTGGAAGCTCTGCCTGAAGCTCTTCCCGCATTCCAAGCACCTATAGGGCTTCTCCACTTCATGAAGCCGCTGGTGGACCACCAGGTCAGAGCTCTGGCTGAAGCTCCGTCCGCCTTCCTGGCAAAAGGTGGGTCTTTCCTCCTCAGAGCCCTGTGTGCTAGGTTTGGAGCTGCTTCCTGTGGGGATTGTTTGTGGCTTTTCCTCCCCATTGGCTTCCTGCACAGTGGAGCCATTCAAAACAGCCTCTTCCCCGAGGTTCTGCCAGGCAGATTTGTCCTCCATGGTCTCTGCCCTCAATTCGTTGCCTGGAGAGGAAGGAAATGAGAAAAAGGAAGAAGGAAAGAAATGGAACAAGGAGAGGAAGGAAGAAAGAAGAGGAAGGGGATTTCCCTTGATGCCAGAGGGAAGGAGAAGGAGATTGCCCCCCAAACAGCAGCAGGGTTGTCCTGCAGCTGGGGGTGATGCTTGGCTGGAAGATGAAGGAGAACAGAGGGGGAAAGGTGGAATGACTTCCTCCTCACCTACCTGGGTGTCCTGTAGCATCTTCCTTTTCCTCCCAGCTTCCTCTTCCATCTGGTCAAGGTTTGGGAATGAGAAATCCTGTTTTGGGGGAGAAAACAATGTGTGAGTGCATTGAATTGGGGGGTCCTCTTGCCCAAGTTCATATCTAGAAGTTAACAGCTATCTTGTGTCCCTAAAGACCTCCAAAATGCCAGGATTCAGCCCCGAAAAGCCCTCCTAGGAGTTCCCCCTCTCTGGTCTCAACTTTGGAGTTCTGGGGGTTCCCTTTGTCTGAGCTGCTGGGGGTTCCGTGTGTATTGGGGGTGCCGGCGCTTCGGGGTCCCTGCCCTGTCTAGGCTGCTGGTGGTCTCTTGAATATCGGAGGTCTCTCCTCTGTGGGGTCCCACTTAGGGATTCTGGGGGCTTCAGGGCTCCCTTCTCCCTTGACTCTCTGCTTCGGTATGCTGGGATCCCTGGGGGGCCCCGTCTCTGGCGTCCCTCCCCCCTGCAGGCTGCTGGGAGTCCTGGAAATCCCGGGGGTCACCTCTCTCCGGGCTCCCCCTTCTCCGTCCTCCCCCCACCTCCAGGCTGTCGGGGGTCTCCCAGCTCCGGTAGCGCCCTTCTCCGTTCTCCCCACTCTGGGGGTCCCGGGGTTCCTGCCCAACCCGGCTCTCCTTGTGGGTCCCAAACCCCGATGTGTGAGTGTGTGTGTGTGTGTGTGTGTGTGTGTGTGTGTGTGTGTCCCACCTGCCGCCGGTAGCGGGCTGACAATGGAGGCGGCGGTGCCTGACCCAGGAAGACCAACCCTCACCGCGGTGACGGAACCTGCATCCCTCCGCCCACCGCCGGGGCTATGCCGGCAGCCGCCGCCGGCAGCCCACCCGAAAAAAACACCTCCCGGGGACTCTCCACTATCTTCCGAAGGGGCATTCGAGCCTCAGCTTTGGAGTACTGCAAGATCCAAAGATACCCTACCCCTAGAAAAATCCTGGGACACCCACCTTCCCCCCCCCCCCCCAAGATATTTGTGGCAAGCTCCCCTTCTCCGGTCACCTGTGGGATGCTGGAGGGCGATGCTCGCGGGGGCTTGCGCATACAGCGAGCGGTGGACTAGCGAACTTCCTCTTTTTCCTTCTCCTCCTCTTCCTGGTCCTCCTCCTCTACCCCTCTTCCTCCTGCTGCTCCTCCTCCTCCTGCTGCACCGCTACTACTTCATCCCTTCTCCTCTTCCAGGCAACCCTGTTCCTGTGTATAGACTGGGGTACGGGAGGTTGGAGAGCAGCTGCGGGAAGTGACCTGGGGGTCCCAGTCGATGGCAAGTTGAATATGAGTCAGCAGCGCCCTGGCAGCCAGGAGGGCCAACCGTGTCCTGGGGGGGCATCAGGCAAAGCATCACCAGCCGGTCGAGGGAGGGGATTGTCCCGCTCTTCTCTGCGCTGGGGTGGCCTCACCTCGCGTCCTGGGCACCACAGTATAAAACAGACATTAAGCCATTAGACGGCGTTCAAAGAAGACCACGAGGATGAGGAAGGGTCTGGAGGGAAAGCCTTATGAGGAGGGGCTGAGGCCATTAGGTTTGTTCAGCCTGGAGAAGAGAAGACTGAGGGGAGGCCTCCTTGAGGTCTTTAACATCCTCTGAAGGGGCAGCAGAGGGCAGGTACTGATCTCTTCACTCTCATAACCAGTGATAGGATTCGAGGAAATAGCTGGAGCTGACTTGGGGAGGTTTAGGTTGGATATTGGGAAAAGTTTCTTCCTCTGGAGGGTGGTTGAGCACTGGAACATACTCCCCAGGGAAGTGGTCACAGCACCAAGCCTGTCTGAGTTCAAGAAGTGTTTGGACAATGTTCTCGGGCACATGGTGGGGTTCTGGGAGTGTCCTGCTACAAAAGCCCTGCAGTATTATATGACCACACCTTTCAAGTAAAACCATATCTACTGCTGCTTACCCTGTCTGTTTATAATGGTTTTGAAGTAAAACTGTACATACACTTACTGTGACCAAGTGGCAGTTTGTAAACCAAACCCAATTGTCTGTTTAAGCCAAAGCATTCCTGGCAGGAATAACTATTTTGTTTCCAGTTGAGTCATTTGAACATTCTGGTGCTAAACTTTAGCCCATCCAGATAAATTCATTCAGCAAACAGTTGTTTGCTGTTGGGATTTCATCAGGCTAAAGACAGACTAGCTAAGTCCAGAATGGAAAAGATTTATGAAGGTCACCTAGTCCAGCCCACCTGCCTGTAACTGGGTCAGCACTGAGTTCAGACTAGGTTGTTCAGGCATTTGTCACGTTGAGTCTTAAAAATGTACAAATCTTAACAGATTTGTTTCTTCCTGAGATACTAACGTATATGGAGCTAATTCTTATCCAGTTACTATCTGTATTTAGATTGTTGGGCAGCAGTAGAAGTTGGTGTAGTGAGTCGATTAAATACGCTGAACAAGAGAAATGATAGTATAGCTCTGTCATCATGTGTGTACAGAGTGACAGAGGGAGAGAAGCAGTGCATCTGTCCAAAATGTACTAGTGTATGTATTATTCTCAGAATAATCAAGAGCTTTTGAGCAGCGGATTGTGTCACACATGGCTGTTTTGAGTGGGAAGCAGGGAACTCCCCTACAACCAAGAAAGAAAAGAAGTACCATGTATAAAACACCATTTAGAAGATCCTTGAAACTTGTCAGGAGTTGAAATTTTGGTAATTTATTTTTCCTCCTTGTAAAACTTAAGTTTTGAGTGGTAACTAGCCAATAGAAAGCATGAATTCTAAGGAAATTTCCCGATTTTTCTCTTGAACAGGAGACAGCAGAAGGAGAGCAGAACTCATAACTCAAACGTTTTATTTTTGCGTGGTTATTTGCAGAACATGTTAAGCTAGAAATAACCAGTTTATTTCAAAATGGCTGCTGAGGACTGTTCACCGATATTGGTGTATCTTACCCAGGACTTGGAGTTTTTGATGAATTAGAAATTGGTTGTCTGAAAGGCAAGCCCATCTTGATTTGATGTACCGAAGTGATTTGTGAAATGGCAAAGCTTCATTTCTGTGGCAAATCTGGAAATCAGGTCATAGTTGCAAGCTATTAAAATGATCTCTGGAACTATTTGTCTCTGTTACTCCATAAGAGAGGACGACATAGTCATTCTAAAACAAAAATTTAATTCTCTACAGCTAACTTTTCCATGGTAGTGCAAGTGGATTTTTGTAGTACTGGATGGCAGGCAGTATGTCTTTTGTTTATGTTTGTTTTCTGTCAGTGAAAATGCTCATTAGATTTCAAGATGCAGAGTAAGACATTTTGAGTTACCTGGTTTTTACTGGATTGTGTGTGTAATTCTGGAGCTCTGATTGAGGACTTTGAACCAGTCTTGAAATGAAAGCAACTATTGTTTTTGTTCCCAGAAAGCCACCTAGTTGCGTGTAGCCACAACCACTGTGGAGGAGTAGTGACCTGATAATAGTTGAGGTATTATCGTTTGGGAAGTCATGTCTTTGCCTCACTTGAAGGGAGGAGTGGAAGGGGACTGGAGAAGCGAAGGAGCTTTGGTGGTCCCATGGAACATCAGTCCAAGATCTTCTACTGTCAGCCTGCCCCAGCAAACGTATGTTACCATCCATGCAGTTGAACAGAAGCACTGTGACTGTTTGAGCCACTGTTTGAGCAAATTGTTTGATTTGTGTTTGAGCAGCATAAAATAGAGATATAAATTATTTTCTGTACATCTAAAAGCGTATATGCTCACTGCTGCCTTTTTTCCTCCTATTGCTGACAACACCTACCTATATGTATGTAGAAGAAAGGAATTTTACCTGCGAGTAAGATTTTTGATATGCTATAACTCCATCCTTAAAACCTTCTGCCTTAAAATGATACCATTACTTTAAATTTTTTTTCACTCCAAGAAATTTCACATTGCTTTTGACGTCTTAGCTACGACAGCTCTGTCAAGCCTTATTTGTAATTTAAACTCTTTGGGAATGTGAAAGCATCAATAATATTCCTTACTTGATGTTAAAGACTTCCAGAAATCAATGGAAACCATGTAAATCATCTTTGTAACAAAAATGTCTTTTGCCATCTGGCAGAGTTTTTTGCATTTTGGATACTCTTTTGTCTCTGATTTAAGTCACTGATATCCCTTTAGCAGAGTTATGGCCCTGTGCTTTACTTATCATTTTCATTAATTTAATCCAGTGGTACTACCTCTTTCTCTTGCTAGTATTTTCATAGCATTTAACCAGAGTAACGAAAGCTTGGGTAGAGAGAAGCTTGAGAGTATGAATTCTGTGTTTCCTTAAAGAAGATTCTGGACAAGTGAGACATTCTCCATATAAAAAGTTGATCATACTGAAGGACTTTTCCTGTGTTCCACAACTGTTTGAAGTGTGGGAAAAATAATTTCCCCTATGCTATAGAACATATTTTTACATTGCATTAGACCACAGTAGGTTTAGTGATACTCTGAAATGATTTTGTTGTTCATAATTGCTAAATTCTTGCAGTTGACTTTTGGCTTGATTTTACACTTAAACGTGTAATTGAGAGAAACTTTCCAAAGTTAAAACCAGAACAAGCAGTGACAGATTAAGACTCAGTTGTTAATGACTGTTATTGCTGTTTATTGCACAAAGAAAAGCTTTTCACATGGAAAATTGAAACCAAATGGTTTCAATCAGTTTTCATACAGCTGGAAACATGTATAAAGTTGGTAATTCAGGACTTTCTGGTATAGTCTTTCACAACACTTGTGAAGTAGAACCATAACAATGTAGTTCCAGGAAGCGTTCCCACAATCCTTGAGTCTTTGTTCTGATATTGAACAAGGAGCTAACCCAAATATAGTTACTGCAAATAATTTTTCAGCTTGTATCATTCCTGCTATCTACCATGTGACTCTTTGAAGTTGGATTGACATGCTGCCAAGAGGAAACAAAATATTTTAAAAGGCAAACATAACTTCCAGGTTCTCTGAACTGAAACAGTCAGGACTTGCCTCAAAATCCTGGAGCAGACAGTAAGGGTCTCCATATACTTTCTCATAAAGAAATCTGGAATGCACCAGGGTCTGCAAATAAGGTGTAAAATTTAGTTTCAACCAGTCTTTTTATGCTTTTCTTTTGCAGGGCAACCAGCTTCTTTTATGGATCCTAAAAGCAGGTTCCTCATACACTAACTTATCCAAGATCATTATTTGTCCTTCTTAGTCCAAATTACTTCATCCCTGTTTCTCTTTCTTTAATGCATTCTCTTTCTTTAATTCATTACACTAATTAAAGCCTGTGTTAAAAGTGAACTTAAAACTCACATATTCCCATTCAGAGGTGTGGGAAGGAGAAAACTGATACATAGGTCTCCGTGGAGCATAAGGTCTATAGTTAATAGTATGACACAACATCCCTCTTCTGTCGTGTTCACCCAAGAGGCTCCACTGTATAGCTGTATCTCATAGCCAGTTCTCTTTTAATTTGTAGTATAAACTGGGGGAAAACTTACACAGTGTATCTAAAAGGACTTTTGTCCAGTTGATGAGTTTGTGAGAATTCAGAAAACAGCATTAGTTGTGAGGGCCTAGAAGCATTTTTCTGATTGCTTGAGTCAGACTTGCTGGTAACATTTCCAGTCCATTTTGCCTTCACTTCCTGGCTGTCCTCAACAGGAATGGTTTGCTGGAAGCTGCCTGAAGCAGTATATATCCTTGTGCCAAATACTGACCTCTAAGCCCCTGCCCCAGATGTTGGTCATTCAGCTACAGAATGGTCAATTCATAATTTGAAGCCTGAAAGAAAACATAAAATGATGTCATCTGAATTCAGCTTGTCAATTTGACTACATGCACTAGCAGAAAAACTCAATATAACTTTGACACCTAGTTTTTTTTATTACTTTTCATTAACAAGGAGATAGATGCTGCTTGTGTTTTTGTAAGCCATACATAGGGTTCATCATAAAAATGCTCCTTTGGAATAAAATACTTCCTATTTAGCTTTGTAAGTCAAATTGACTGTGAGAAATGAGTAAAAGTGAAATAATGTATCTGACAATATGGAATCTATTGCAATGAATGATTTCAAAGCAAATTGGTTGATTTACCTCTGGATAATTTGGATGTGGTTCTCTGAGTTT